GGGGGCAGCGGGACGCGGGGGTGCAGGAAGGTGTGTGGGGCAGCAGGGTTGGTTTGGGGATGTAGGGAGGTTAGGGGGGCACCGGGGTGCTCTGGAGCCCCGGGGATGCTGGGGAGGTGAAGAGGGGGGCTCAGAGGGGTCTTGGGCACCAGGAGGCTGGGGAAGGGTAGCAGGGGGATGGGGAGGAAGGGGGGCTGCAGGGGAACCCCCCCAGGCAGTGCCCTCTGGCCAGCCTGGCATCAGCTCCACTCCTGGCTTAAAAATAAAAATAAACAACTTGCAAACAATGAGATTTAAAAGCATCTTGGTGGGAACTGGTCTGTATGGGGAAGCCCCTCCACGTAGCTGCTGGGATGGTCCCCACGGGACCATTTGGGCCTTTAAGCAAGTCAAAACCCATTTAAAGCCCCCCAGGCAGTGCCCTCTGGCCAGCCTGGCATCAGCTCCACTCCTGGCTTAAAAATAAAAATAAACAACTTGCAAACAATGAGATTTAAAAGCATCTTGGTGGGAACTGGTCTGTATGGGGAAGCCCCTCCACGTAGCTGCTGGGATGGTCCCCACGGGACCATTTGGGCCTTTAAGCAAGTCAAAACCCATTTAAAGGGAAGGAGAATATGTAATAGTAGATGTATATATACCAATATATTATAATAGCATTGATGTATGATAATAGATAACAATATATTGATCTAATAATGCTGTTTCAACAGTTCCATGTTGTTCCTAATTAGACAAACCCATGGAGGCCTCTCCAAGGGCTGGACTCACTCCAGCACGTGGCAAGTGTCTCCTCCCAGCATCTTCCACTAATGAAGGAGAGCAAAATATTGCTGCAGAGCACAAAGTTCCCCCAGAGAAAACCTTGTCTGGGGGCTTTTTGGGGGGGGAGCCAATTTCCCCTGGGAAGCTGGTAGGGAGAAAATCAGCTGTAAATTTCTCTGAGATCTGGTATCGATGTGGGCAGTAAAATGCTGAATTTTGGACTTCTGAGGTTGTTTTGAGAATCTCAAGTGTGAAGCAGGAGCAGCACTAATTAGGCAGCAGGTGGAAGGTCCCAGGTAGAGGCAGGGTGTGCTGGGTGCAGGCCAAGGCTCACAGGACAGAGCACCCATCACTGCAGGGCCCCTTGGGAAGCTCTTCCCAAACCATTTGGTTCTAAATCACATTTCTGTGCCCTGCTCCAGAGCCCCAGTGAAGCTGAGCTGGTTCTGTCTTTGCTGCAGGTGACCTGAGGCATTTGGAGCACTGGGTTTCTGTCCCTCTGCATGGGAACTCAAGCAGCTCACTTAGTTTTGGCCGTGCCTCAGTTTCCCCAGCAGCAGCAACCCTGAGGGTTACACTCACACTTGGGAGGAAAAGGGCAGGTTTTTGGGGATACAGGGATGGCTGGGCAGGCAGGAGGTGCCAGCAGGACACAGCCCCTCTCCCTGCTGACATGGGACACTGTTGGACACTGTCTCCTCGTGGCTGAGCTGGCCTGGCCCCAGCGGGCCCTGGTTTCATTAGGGGACCCGCTCACGTCCCAGGGACCTTTCCCACGTTGGGCTTGTCACACTGAATTACTGCTCCTCAGCGCTGCGCTCAATAGCCCGAGCCAGCTCCAAACAAAGTCCTGCTCCTCCCCGCTAATCCCTCCTCCCCTTCCTCCCCCCTCAGGTAATTAATAAAACAAAGGGGCTGCTCTTCCCCGCCGGCAGCGGGAGCGGGGCCCGCCTCTCTTTACCGCCTTCC